TTGGCTGTTTATAATTCCTATTGATTGTGAATTCTGATTATAACAATGAGTTGAAAATTTTTTTACCTAATTTACTGGCACCTTTTTCTTGTCAATACTCCAAGCTGAGGTAATAAACATGACAATACATTTATGTCATCTGGAAGCAAAATATGCACACTAATTAATAGTTTGGCACATTGAGATAATACATCATGACAGAAAATACAAGTTAAAGATATGTATGACCATCACATGGTAATTAAAATTAAAAAAAATTAATAGGGGCTGTTGAGTATGGAAAGTTCAAGACAAAGAAAAGAACAAATGTTCATAGCTCATGAACTCTCAATTTTGCCTCCATTGCTTTGTGAAGGCCAGTACATTTCGAGTGGCTGAATTGGTTTACCTTTATGATAGCAACGATTTTGTATTCAATATAGCGAGATTATTTCAATTTAATTGAAGTGATATAATTTCCCAAAGCAATGCTTGAATCGTCTAGAATAGATCAGTGGTGTCAAACTCATGGGTTTTCGAGAGCCGCATTGCATTTTGAAAATTGTAAAAAGAGCCGCAAACAGTTTTTGATAATGTATACTTAAAAGATATTTTTAAGATAGTTTTAGTTTGTGACATATATTGTGATGCAACTAAACAGTTGGATTAAGTTTTATTATTTTCTTCAATTTCAAATGCAATTACATATTAATATTTGCATTCCACTATTATTGCAACATTTGCAAGTTACAGTATTTATTATAAAAAATCGTAAAATTCAATGTACAACCATCAAAATCATTTTTGAACAAGCTTTGAATAAGGAAAGAATAATACATACACTAAAAATAACTTAATCTAAATATATGAACCTAAAATTAACAAAAATACTACAGTATAAACTCAATGTTTTAATAATTACATTTGTCCTGGCGTTTGGCATCTTTTTTGTGTCACCAGCATACTAAGGCCAGTCTGAAATGATTTTATAGTACCAACTCTAACTAACGAGGCCACATGATCATGGGTTTATCTGGATCTTTACGAATGTCTAATTAATTCCAGTAATGCAAAAAAGTTACTTTTATCATTTCATGTATAGATCAGTAAAAACAAATGACAGATTTTTTCGACAAGACATTGCGTGGCACAGGATTGCTTGAATTATTATTGATATTGATTTTTAGTAACTAAGTCGTTGTATAATTATATTAATATACAAACACATGGAAATTTTCTGTTCGAAGTTGGTCTTCGAATTTGTCATATTGACTGCTGAGCTTATTGTGTTTTTTGATTGTATTGATGGAAATATGACAAATTAAACAATGTGCTTCAGAATTTTGTGAAGAGCAGAAATGTTACAACTCCCATTTTCTTCGAAAATGCCACCTTCTTCATGTACTTTGCGTTTAATTTAATTACTCAAGTGTTTTATTCAAGTATTCTTTTGCTAGCTTGATGTGTATTCTTAATTGGGTCAAAGTGTGGACAAAAAAAATCAATATTCCAAAACTACTTTCAGTAAATTGTTTTCTGTGTGAATAATCAATTTCACTTTAGAAGGTTTGAAAAATCTATTACATTTAGATAAAAAAAAAAAAAACTTCCAAAATACTATTACAATTATTGTTAAACGTTCGAGGGCCGCACTGGAAGTTCTCTGGGGCCGCGAGTTTGAGATCCCTGGTCTAGATTGAAGTTGTTCAAAAAATATATGATAGTATTTTATCATGAATGATGATTATACCCCTTCCGGAATTTCTTCTATAGTACTACCAAAAGTTGATGAACCAAATATAACACAGGTGCAGTGAGGTACCCGTAATCCTCATTTCCAAAGCTGTTTTAAGTATGTCTGGCGTGTTTTGTGCCTTTTTACAAATAAGACCGCTTATGCAATCTTACGCTTTGGAATTTTTAGTTATTTTCCTCAAGCCCTGCAGGATGTGGGGGCCATACACAACTCTACCGGAGGATCAAATGTCTTTGCATGCCTCCATAGGTTGTTTTTCTATTGCAATTTTCTATTTTCAAATGCATTATATTTCTTGGAATCACACTGTCACTGATATGTCGCCAGACTTCTGATATCTCCCCGTCTGCTATAGTTGTCCTGTGCTTTATGTCGGCTTAATTTCTTGATTGATATACTTACTATTTCTGCTATTGCCTCTTGTGCTGCAGGAGTCTCACAATGCTTAGACAGGTTTGTCCACAACTTTCACATCTGAAGAAAGAGAGGAGATTTATTAATTTTCGTTAAGAATAAATAAAGCAGTCTATATGATTCAGAATGGAAAAGCTAATAAATCCAATATCTCATGTTTTATTTAAAAAATATTTTACTGAATTTGGTATATAAACCAACTAATAAAGGGGTTTAGTCAGAAAATTACAAGCATTCGTGGCTCCAAATACTTGAGAAATCAGACTATACAATATAGACCGGTATGAGTGAAATGTTAGGTGAACTTGTTAACACTTTGATTCAATACGCAAATAAAAGTGAATGCGTAATAGTATGTTACAATGAGCAGCAATCAACAATGAGTATATATCCTCACTGATTAAAAAAATCTAACTGGAGGTACATGAACTATTTGAAACCATAAGGGGTAAGTAAATATGTAATTTCGGCAAATGGGCAACTACGTACCGTACTGAATTAATAACTTCGTAGTATTTGACAAAGGCTGGCTTTCCCACATGTACTTAACAGTGCGATGCCCGGGTGTGATATACAACAATAGTATTCACCTTACCTTTTACCGATTTCTTTTTACCCCAACTTTCAAAAATATCATTAAAATCGACAACAACTGTCAAAGCAGGCACGAACACCATTCGTGCTACGCCTTGAAGGCAGCACACATCCGCTCGTTTTCGTCTCGTCAAGTATGTGCATTGGAGCGTGCTATCGAATACGATCTTCGGACAAAAATGCCGGAGTTGCGCATCATGTTGTTTAATGTCATTGCCCTAAACAGCACAAAAAACGTAGCTGACAGCATCGGTCAAAGGTCATGAAAGGCGCGACGGTGTGGCTCAACGGGCTACGCGTTAGAAATACGCTCGCCACCGCACCTCTGATTACTCTGCGTGGGTTCGCAGGTTCGAATCCCAGGCAGGGATGGTTATGTGCGAGAGAATTACTGGACTCCTCGCCGTCGTTGGGTGGTTCACGTAACCGCTGGTCGGTTACGGCTTCCTCCACCACCAAGTCCATGCTTCCGAAAACAAACAAACAATATAACTAATCCCATACCCGACTTGGAATGGTAACCGGACGAGAGGCCGTGGTTTGCCATATGGATAAGCCGTCTTATCGGCTTTCCTCTCCCCCGGGATAAATATGTAAATCATATCATAAAGTTGGTAATGGACCCTAAAACCATCCTTTCCATTTTGTCGAATGCGGAAGTAACGGTAAACAGAAGAGGTCAAAGGTCATAAATGCTGCTTACAATTGCAGATTTTTGCAGAACAGTAGAAGCCTGAGGGCGTGATGTGACAAACATATGCAATAATGGTTATGCCACCATTGATACCTTGTAAAGTCTTAGAAGATGCCACTCTGGCTAGAATTAACTTGTGGTACTACTAGACTAGCCCCGATGTTTTTTCGGAAAATGTTATTGATCACATTTGCGGGATCTAGTCAGCTAGTGGCAAACTCATTCCGTCATTCCACCTTATCGTCTTGCAGTTATTAGGATTTTGACCAGGTATGCAATAACTGAATATAAGTAATACCGGTATATGAGGATTGACAAAGTCAATAAACTAGCCCGTTATATCGTTATTGTCTGCTTTTATTTCGGTCATCTGTTCATGGGCTTTTCTCATTCACTGTCATCGCAGCATTGTGTAAATACTGAAACTGTGAAATATAACTTTTAATTTAACTGACAGGAGTTTAAACTGGACGCAATTTTTAATAAGAATTATATGATCCACATTCAGTTGCTATAATTTTAAAGCAGAGCAAATTTTATTTAATATTTACTGACAAGCTTTTCTGACTATTGTAAAAATATTTAAGAAAATCAATTTTTGGTTTTAGAAGTGTCTGTTATGAACTGAAAATGTTTATTGTAATCAATACGTAACTGTTTAGTGTACAAATGCTGGAAAAGGTAGTTATGTTTTATACCTAGCCGATAAACACGCATGACTGTGCAGTTTGGCAATGCAAATAAAATTTGTTTACTTTGAGTTGTGCATATTTGTATGAGAACTTTACTGTTCAGATCAGTGAGAACATTCTGGTTAACTTTCAAAATCATAACTAAAAAGGATCAGCTTGGGTACTCTGGATTGTTTTTTTCAACCCAAATTGTGTAGTATTAAAGCAAAACGAAAATACTGCCAACTGTCATGGAGCAAGAGTTATGAAATAGTTGTGTACTCATGGTATGGGAATAAGTTTTGTCAGACTTATTTTTATAGCGAATAAAATAGCATGCCTAGTGTGAGTTCTAAGCTATCACATATTAATTAACTATTACGAAGTTTTGATAAACTTCGTTTTCCAAGATTGAGCATGTGTATAATAGCATACTATGCTTCATACCATTCAGTGGTTATTTGTAAAATGTGTATTTGGGTTATTTTTTACACTCGACAAAGGAATGTATGACGAATAATGCAAAAATTTTCATTAGTTTCATTATTTTAAAGTAGTAACTTGATTTCATTACTTTTTGACCATGTATAAAAATCATCGAATCAAGCACATTTTTGTAGACTTGTTAGTAATACTTAACATCTTTGATCTTTGTCGTGCTACGGACATATAACTTGAACCTTTGTTTAATTCATGTATGATGGAGTTAATATAGGGCAGGGTTGCATAAATCGCTTTTGTCCCACTTATTATGTGATATACCCCAATTTGTGTAATATCTCATATCAAGATATTTTGATATGATGTTCTATTGAAAATGTGTTTTGTCTGTTATTTTTCTATCCATACGTTGGTTTGAATAATTTACCGTTGGAAAATTTGACTCATCACTGCGAATTCCACTTTTCAGTTCTATTATTGATAAATTTAGTTTCACTGCTCAAAAATGGCACTTCCGCAAACATATCGTAAAGTAATGGTGACCACTTTAACAACAAATTTTCGAAAAGCAATTGAGTTTCAAACATGCCAGATTCCAAAGTTATCAGCAAATTCAGTTCTGGTACGAAATCGATATGTTGGTATTAATGCATCTGATGTGAATTTCACTGCTGGCAAGTATACCCCAGGTGCTGCACTGCCTCTTGAAATAGGATTTGAGGCAGTAGGGGAAATTGTGGCTGCCGGGGATAAGTGCAAGGACCTGATTGGTACTGCAGTGGCTCACATGTCTGGTGGGGCATTTTGTGAATATCAGAAGCTTCAATCATCAAGAATTTTTCGGATTCCAGAACCAAAGCCGGAATATCTTCCTTTGTTAGTGAGTGGAATCACAGCAAAACTAGCTCTGGAGATGAAAGCACAACTGAAAGAAGGTGAAACCGTAAGTTCCATGTAATTTTTTCATCACTTATGTAAACTTTAGTGGTTAGAAACATCTGAGAGAGATATGAACTTTAAGTTGGCTGAAACTTTGAACAAATTTCAAGGTGTGCGCTTTAGCATATACAAACCATATTTCTTTAATATCGAAGGTTCTTGTGACTGCGGCTGCTGGAGGAACAGGTCAATTTGCAGTTCAACTTGCCAAACTAGCAGGTTGCCGCGTCATTGGAACATGTTCTACTGATAAAAAAGTGGAATTTCTTAAATCTATTGGATGTGATAGAGCTATCAATACGTCGAAAGAGGTAAGGTTTATTTTAGTGTCAGATTTCCAGTTGTTATTATGGAAACTTGTTATTATGGAAACAACCAGATGTGAAGGAAGGATTCATGATTGAATATTCTTTTTGTTTTGTAAATTTGTTTGAAGCATGTAATCAAGGTGTGATGTATTTTCATTAAGGATCTGAAGCTTGTTTTGAAAGATGAATTTTCAAAAGGTGTGGATGTTATTTATGAATCCATTGGAGGACAAACATTTGATACCTGTGTAAATGCAATGAAACTTGGTGGACGACTGATCGTGATTGGGTATATATCAGGATATCAAGATGGTACAATTTCCAGCACATCTGGAAGGTAAATAAGTTATATTTTCAGAACTAACAAATTCCTATTTTTGTAATTTGTAACATAATGTGCAGATATACAAACATGGTTCCCAGTTCTGTGATGTAGACTGGGACCATGTTATGAAAGTTCACCTGATTTTCTTTAGTTTTGAGAATTGTCTAGGTGTATCCATGCTTTCTCTTGTCTGATTGGACCTCTCTCCATATATAAGAAGTTAGGTTTTTTAATTATATGCCAGTTTTTAGCTAGTAGTTGTATAGTCGGCCATCTGGTGACATGAACGACTCTTTAACTTTTACAACATAGGTTTTGCAGAAGTGTAGACGTAATAGAGGCATCATCAAAGTCGAAAGGTGACACTGACATGTCAGCATACCAGGGTCCGCACACAAGCAAAGCTCGAGGTGTAATTGTCGCTATTAAGAATACGCCCATGTGATATATAAACTTATGTCGTTTTCTATCCATTTCTTTTAAACTTATATTACTTTAACAGAGCTGCTGCTGCATTACCTATTAAGCTATTGATGAAAAGTGCCAGTGTTAACGGCTTCTTTCTTATGCACTATCCACAAAAATGGAAGAGCACATTTGATGAACTTGTAGAAATTCACTCAAAAGGGGAAGCAAAGAGTTTTGTGGATAATGGTATGAATAGAACTGAAGGAAAATTGGAAGGTATCGAGTCAATTCCTGATGCTGTTGATTATATGTATTCTCGAAAAAGTATAGGAAAAGTATTTGTCGATATGTTTCCAGACTTAACTGCAAAATTGTGAAGTTAATTTAGGCCATCTGGAGTGTTAAACATTCGAATGAGATTCATGATATATACTTTAAGTTTGATCATCGTAAACCAAGTGTTGTAAACCTTCCAATGACTGGGTTAAATATTTTATTTTTAAAACCACGGCCTCTCATCCGGTTAACAGCGCATGTCGGGTATGAGATTATTTGGTCAGTTATTTGTTTCAGATGCATTGCCAGTTATTTGCTTAATTCGTTCACTCAGCTATAAACGTTACAACTATTAGCGCTAATGACTGACATGGGATTTTCCTGTGGTTCAAAACATAATACACATACCGGTACTAGTAATACTGATATATTTCTGGACATCACAGTGCCATCTATTTACATAATTATTGGAACTAAACTTTACATTTAAATTGTTGATTTGTTGAATTATTTCTGCAATCAAGTTATTAATTGCTCTCATATTTTTTTCCCTAAATTAAATATTCTCATGCATTAATAAGTACGGTGTGTCAGCCACATCAGTTGGGAGTGGGGATGGTTGCAGGGCCCCAATCTCAAATTGAGAGGAGGTTATTATTGACCTGTCATATAAACAGCAGCAGGTTCGATATTTAGGACAGCTACACAAGGCCGGCCATCTCCTGTTGTGACGTTTTGATTGTTGTTTACTGTTCAATTCTGTCGTAGCTCTCGACGGCTAGTTCGAAACATGCACTGACTCGTACTTGTAAAATACATTTCATATAGGGCTCTTTTCTTCTTAGTGAGGTATTGATGAAACATGTTTCTCATTGTGTGTGACATCTGATCGAACTCAATTAGAGTGATAGATTCCATGTATTCAGTAATTTTTGGAGCATTCATACAGGGGGAAGTTGAGTCCCCCTATCTCAGGGATGGCGAACCACTGACCCGCGGGTCACAAAGTGACCCACGTCATTTTATTCGTGACCCACCAAGGCACGAATGAAATGAAAAAATGCTAACATATCAGTGCTAAAAATTGATAAAACTGGCCTTAAATTATTTAACTACTCTAAACTATAACTATTATAATGTACCGTCAGTTGGGCAGTCAAGGCTGCGATCGCTCATATTCGAATTTATATTTCCGGGCCGGTATGATAATTTTCAAAACCCCTAATCTTGGACGCATGTCTGCACCGCTGTGTACCGATATTCAGCTATTGGCTCTGACATCGTTTATGATATAACAATGCAATTGATCTGGTTATTTTTCGCAACGCCTCGTCTCTTTTGGAAGTGCGCCTGCATGCTTTTTTAGGGGTAATACGAGAACTAGATGCTACTTTGCATTTTATTAGTTTCTCATCTACAATGCCGCTGTAAAAACAAAATATTCAAGATTTGAAATAAAAACCTAGAAATCCGAAATACCAATGGGCCATGGGGCAGTGTAAAAGTGCTTTAATGTGGTTGGAAGCAGATCGAAAAATATAACACTATCAGAGTGGAATTCCCTCTAAACTATTTGATACCGTAAATTAATTTTCCCCATCATCCTAAACGTTTTTGGTAATTAATATGCGTGTTTTCGTACTCTCATTTCATATAATCGAGTGCCATAAAAAGTCCCTAATGGAAATGCTGCATAATCCCAAAACTACACCAACACCAACAGAAGCTTACAAGATTTGATTCAGAAGTTTCTTATAGATACAAACATTGATTAAATATCTGTGACCCACTCTCTTCTGCTCCGCGATAAAAATATAATTTTTGACCCATTCATCGGAAAAGGTTCGCCATCCCTGCCCTATCTGCTTGAATATATATTGAAAATTGAAATGTATACTGAAATCTCAATATGATTTATACAGATGATATCCAAATCAGTAATGTCCAAAATTAAAAAACACTTCATTCTCAAATGGAAGCCGTAATCGCGTCATGAATCGGTCGAAACAAAGACTCGCTTGTGCTAAATTATCAAGAAATGGGCAAATGACGCATTCATTGAATTTACATACTCTTGACACAAAGGGTTGATTTACGCGATAAATTTCAGTCCCATTCCAAATTCGCTACGCCATTACAAAAGTCATATACAATTCGTCGTTGTATTCATTTAAAGAACTTCCAAGTATTCGAGATTCGATTCTGAAATCACCAGGTATTCGAAAATGCCCACCCCTAGTAATCAGCACCTGGACAGCTCGTCTTGGTCTCTGGAGCGTTGCTTTCGTTGCTGTGGGCTCAAATGCTTCAATGGGCGCTTGCACTTTTCCGTCTCACGTATTGCAGCGAAGATAAATCTTGTCAATTTTGTAGCCAACGTTTTGTCGCTTATTCGAACATACGATGTCTTCATATTGTCCTAATCCTGGCGTTACTTTTTAGAGTTACCAATTAAATACGTGCGATAGGTCAAATTTCAGGTGGTTCATTTTCTTTCTGAAGGTTTATATTCATCGACAAGTATCACGCCTTTTTTATTCAACCGAATTATTTTATCTTTTGCAATTCAACACAGGGTAGTCGTTTATATCAGAATAGACAGTCCTATTTAAAAAAAAATAATTTTGTTCTCATACCCGACATGGACTGGTAACCGGACGAGGAGGCGTAGTTCGCCATGTGATTGAGCCAGTGGCGTAGCAATACTCTCGTGCCGTTTATCTTGGTTACTTTAATTTTTTCATACGTGTTTCCTCTTCAGCCTTTTTTTCTGCGTTTCTGTGCGCCACTGAGAGGTTTTGCTTTCAACATCATTCTGACAATCTTCGTAACTTTGCCGGTTCGATCAAACCTCAAGACGTCGAAAATCGACGACTCCATGGCATTGTTACGTAACAAAACGATTTGAGCAGAACTAACATCAACATTATAAGATGTGCATTACTGGTTTGCAATGCAGCTTTTGGTTTTGCGGCTTAAATTTCTAAGTTCTTACCGCTTGGGCCCCTTTGCGCTGTGGGCGCGACCGCGGGGGTGGATGCTACTCCACTGGATTGAGCCGTCTTATCGGCTTTCCTTTCCTCGGGGATAAATATGTTAATCCTATCCTAAAGGAAGTTGTGTTTTGATAAAAAGAAATGTCATGGAATCTCAGATTTGAGCTACTCATAAAAAGCGAATGACATATATTTATTAAGCTGAGGTACTTTCGGTCCCACCGGTAATCACCGAGAGTTAATAAGCACCGTTGCAGTTGCGTTAAATCTCTTGATTTAGATTAGAAAATCCTGACACAAATCAACAAAAAATATTTCTTGGCAGTGATGATCTGTGATATGAAAAATATTCTCATCCTATTGAGCTTTGAATCGTTGTTTTGTTTGCTGTAGACTAGAAAATGTTACTTTTATAAGGTGATCAATTTCCCACGTTATCAAGCACGTCATTGACAATTTTTGTTTAAAAAAATCTAAGGTAGCCTACTTTATATACAAAGTTGTTCTTGTAGTACTTGGGTTTATTCTCAATGTCTTTATGTAAGAATACAAAATATACGACAGTAAGTGAATGACAAAACATATTGACGGCAGAACAAAACACACATGCAATTAAATACGTCATAGGCCTAATGTTTTGATGAATATTTCGACGCATTTACCACCAATAAGTCAAATATAAACGAAATACACATTTGATTAACCAATTCTGCAATATTGTGTTTTTAAAATACCCCGGAAGAAATGACGGAGGGAACTCTTATCATTTTCATGTTGTAATTTCTTAAACAGTCCGACTATTGATCTTCTTCGTAGTCATCTCCGTCTTCATCGAATTCTTCGTCATCGTCCGCCGTTGCATCTTGGTATTGTTGGTATTCACTGATCAAATCATTCATGTTACTTTCGGCTTCAGTAAATTCCATTTCATCCATACCTTCCCCTGTGTACCTAAATAGGCCAAATCGAATTGACAAGAGTTTTACAATGAAGGTTTACATATATATATATTATGCGCGACAAGACTTGTCTATATTGATTCATCTAGTGACGAAAAACGTACGCATGGATAATGATAACAGCTTGTATCATCATGAAGTGTGAGTAATATAGTTATTAACAAGAAAGTAAGGCTCAATAATAAGGAACAATAGGGCCAAAACGAAGTAGTCCGGGTATCAAATCTTTCACAGAAGCCGTAGGCATACCATTAGATCGCGAACACAATCCGCAATTGTTAGCGACGACCCACCACACGACAATTCAAAGTTAAAGAGAGCCTACAGAGCATTTTAAAATAGATAGATTAGTTCAAGGCAACAAAAAAATACCAGCGACAACCTATTAACAAAACGATTCACGGGTCGATTTTGTGTCGAATAAGAAAATTCACATTCTCGACTTGACATCTCCAAATATAAGGTTGATCATCTTAACAACGATGAGACAAAAGTCGATTAAGAGCGCGATGTCGGCAATAATCTGCTCACTGGCGATTGTGAGATCTGCCATTTTCAGAGCACATGTGCAACATCCTTGTAGTAAGGTAGGCTACTAAAAAGCAAAAATGAAATACAGGCTTGATGAGCAGGTTCGCTATAGATTATTCTTGCTGTTATTTTTCGTACATTTTATATTCATGCTTACATCTAGTTCCTAAAATGCTGCATTGTAGTTTACTCACCAATGAAGGAAAGCCTTTCTTCTAAACATAGCAGTGAATTGTTCTGATATTCTTTTGAACAATTCTTGAATTGCTGTGCTATTTCCAAGGAAAGTAGCAGCCATTTTCAGTCCACGGGGAGGCACATCGCATACTGCGACCTGTAACAAAAACGATCTCAATCATGTCGAAAGAGAGTACCAAATATTGCATACAATTAGCAAATATATTGGAATAAGTCTCTTTATTTGTAATTTTGCTGCAAGATGATTGTATTATATAACAAAACTCAATTTATGGAGTCACCTTTACGTTGTTTGGAATCCATTCAACAAAATAACTGCTATTTTTATTTTGTACGAGAAGCATTTGTTCATCAACTTCTTTCATCGACATTGGTCCTCTGAACACAGCTGCAACTGTGAGATATCGTCCAAATCGAGGATCGCATGCAGCCATCATGTTCTGAAATTTCAAGCTCGCACTAAATTGTTACTCCCGTTGCACAAATAGCTACAGTTAAATTTCATTCAACATTTTACATACAGTTCATATGTCCACACCACTATATTTCAATACAACTGTTAAATGCAAAGTCACTCTTGATATCGAGTCACGTGTTATTCAATATGGACTTGTGTACATTTTAGCAAAAAAGGATTTACAAAAAAAAAATATGTATATAAATAGGCCATAAAAATAATTTCAACTAAAATTCATTTCTTGTTGGTTTTGCTATCTGACGAATACTTCACGACCTGAGAATATTACTCCTATTCATTAGCTGAACTGTGAACTTTTCTAGTCGAGGTTGAGTAACAATCACTTGACTCCAAAGAACTTGAGCATCGAAATTTATAACAGAAGCAATACATACCTTTGCATCAAACATTTGTTGTGTGAGCTCAGGAACTGTAACAGCGCGATATTGTTGACTACCTCGACTGGTGAGTGGAGCAAATCCTGGCATAAAAAAGTGGAGCCGAGGAAAGGGCACCATGTTCACTGCCAGTTTTCTTAAATCAGCGTTGAGTTGGCCTGAAGAAAATCAACTGAGTAAAAATATTTATGCAAATTCGCTCAAAGAGAAGTCAACTAAGAAGCAAATTGCAGGATGTTTGCGATTACTGTTAGCCATAAGCTAATTGATCAGCCAATCATTAATTATATTCATAAATATTTTATACATTTGACCCGAACGAAATCATTAGAATCAACTCAACTGCAACTCGAATAGAGTTTTACAAAGTTTTGAAGATTTTTCCACTGATTACTCTCGTACGAAATCAAAAACAAATTCATTTATTGGATATTTGGGTGGGGCTAAATCTATTGTTTAATTGATTTAACGTCCAGACAAAGAGTGTGATTCAGATCAATTCCGCATATATGAATTTGACCGATCGGTCGGTAATTCAAGCGACAACTGTTTTGTTTGCGAAGACTTATCCACAACCCGACGAAATCTCTTGGCTTTTAAGAAGACCCCGTTTAAAATCAAATCCGACTGAAAGGTTTTTTCATCGATCCGATTCATTAGTCACTTTTACCACTTTTTGCAAGGAGCACCAAGTTCGCTTGAATAAGCTAAGACAATAAGCAATGACAAGCGTTGGATAATGGGGATCGTAAAACATTACTTTGCTGTATAGCACATTGGACAAGTCAGAGCTTCAGATTGTTCCGTCCTCTGTTGTACTCTCGCCCTTCTATAAGAAAATGAATTGACTTATTGTATGAACCGAATCATGCTGAACAGATAAATTAAGCAATTGTCCATCAGATCTTCACTACGTTATTACCATTTTATTCACCTTTGAACCTATGGATCGTTTTTTTATCATGTTGTTGTTAGTTTTTTCTTTTTGTTGTTAAAAATTGCATTTCTGTGTAACTAATAGACCCATTGCTTTGGCATTTTCAGTGGTTGAAAATTGTTGTTGTGGCTATAGGGCTATTTATTTCAATAATTTATGTTGGCTTCTTGGGCTGTGTGTGCGTGTTGATGTCATCAAGTTAAATTATTGCGCACTTGTGGTGATTCCGCGGTTCTTGATTAGGTGGTCAGTAGAAGGACTACGGTATTGCTGTAACTTACGAATTATTTTTTTATTTCGCCAAGAAGTCTGTGCCATATTTAGTCCTACCTAGTCTCGATTGGCTATATCACGGTACAGCTTTGAGAAATAGACTCAGTTGGATCACACCTTTTTGATTTAACGATATTTGACATTTACGTGGCATCTACATACATCGAGTGATAGAAAATGAATGAAGCTTTTTTTTCCCATATTTGTCAATATACCTGGAAATCTCAGAGAAGTTGTGATTCCACTCATGGTGATGGAAACGAGATGATTCAGATCTCCGTAAGTAGGTGTGGAAAGTTTCAGTGTTCTAAAACAAATATCGTACAACGCTTCATTGTCAATACAGAATGTTTCATCTGTGTTTTCGACAAGTTGATGCACTGATAGAGTAGCGTTGTACGGTTCAACAACCGTGTCAGAAACCTTAAGATAAAAAATAAATGAAGATGAAGAATTATTTCAGATATGCACATAGGTAATATGATAGTTAGAGGGAATATGCTAATACTTCGTTCACCATTTAGATACATTTGAAACTGCCCTCGTGAAATACAATGCTTTATTCTTGCATTATTATATAGACTCGACGAACTAGTCACCAAATTAGAAATTGTTGTGTTGAACGAGAACAGCCGTTACAGAACTTTCAAATTGCCATATGTTATCCATTGTTTAACTCAAATTTCACATCTTTGGCCATCAAGTATAAATCATATTTGAAGTATGTATTTACGACAAGCATACCAAAGATTTATGCATGATAACTGGTAAATGGATGTGTTGCAATACGTCTAGAAATTTTATTCCCAATACGCGGTATTGATCTAATATTATTCCCCAGAGTCCAGAATCTGCCGTCGCCGCTGTTTTGTTTCCCAATTGAGAAGCTATAATGTTGGCGCTTCACAAGAATTTTTGTATGGTAGCAAAGGATAGGAACAAAATAATATAGGCCCGTAAGACATGACATTTTTTTTCAATTGAAAGTTATGTATATTTCATGTATATAACTGCTTCATCTTCGCTGATTAAAGATTTTGATCCTTTTAAATATATTAGCTATCAGCATATGCATGTACAGAGCATTTCTGAAGGGACAGTGTGAAAAGCCCTATTAGAAATTTCCGTCTATTTTCCAAAATTTGGGAAACTTTGTTAACTGACGCTCACAGTTCCTACAGTACAGAGAGACCTAAAACGAATAAGATTTGGTCATCCCAGAAAAGGCCAAACCAAGCTTATATATATATACTTATACACGTATATATATATATATATTTATTACATAAACTCATTGTAAAGAAAACGTGGTTTTAGTGACCATACATTACCTTTGGTGATGGTACAACGCTGAAACTGTTCATAATTCGGTCTGGATATTCTTCTCGTACTTTGCTAATAAGAAGAGTACCCATTCCCGATCCAGTTCCGCCACCAAGAGAATGGGTAAGCTGGAATCCTTGAAGGCAGTCGCACCCTTCACATTCTCTCCGAACAACATCCATAACTTGGTCAATCAACTCGGCCCCCTCTGTGTAATGACCTTTGGCCCAATTGTTACCGGCACCGGAATGACCGAAAACAAAATTATCAGGCCTGAAAAGATGACCATATGTCCCGCTCCGAACCGAGTCCATTGTCCCTGGCTCTAGATCCACAAGGATGGCTCGCGGAACGTATTTTCCTCCTGTAATTAGTAAAATATGCTTTTAAAAGATGTCCAACAGTTAAAAATATGTTGATTTCATATATATATATTGTTCAAATCTATAGAAGAGTTGATAATTTAAATGGAGGAGATTCATAGCAAATCTTTGTTCCTGCGTGAGGTTTGTTCCCACAATCAACAACCCTCAAAGAAAAAGTGAACCGACCAGCAGTTACGTGGACCACTCTGTGAAACTAATGAGCCCAGCACCTCTTTTGCAAATATAAAGCCGCTCCTACATGCCAATATCAAAATCGGATGTCACTGTAGTCATTTATATTCAAAGGTATCACATATTCAACTTACGTGAGCCTTCATTAAAATATACGTTCACTCTTTCAAGTTGCATTTCATTGTCTCCGACATACATTCCATCTTGCGTCAGACCGTGTTCGTCTGATATGACCTCCCAAAACTAAAATTGTTATATCATCTAAATTATGTACAATGTTGATGGAAAGTGGTAACTTTTGTGTTTTGATTTCGAGGACAGAAATTAATTTTATTCTACAACGCATGTATATTTGTTTTGTTATTTATATTTCAATTTCGTAGCTTTATCAACCATCTTATGACGCAACGAGAATCACCCGTGGCTGGTTCTAGTTGGGCTCACTAATTATGGGTTGAAAATCAATTCTAATGCATTCACATTGACTAACTTAGCGAGTAACATTGAGTTGAATCAGTTGGCATGGTGTAAAAGGGTCACATGTGTGCTGATTAACGATTTATATATGTATATATGCCCAGATAAAGATTGTAGGCAAATTGATACGACAACATAGTCGGATGAAGAAGCTACGCCATCTTTCGATATAATAGGAATTACATGGCTACTCTCTTTTTTAATTTCAGTGATGTTATTTTGAATTTCCTAATTATTCCATTTTTCTTTTTGTACTATTTCACATGACTTTGCCACACCCACACTGTGGCGGTATATATCTACTACATGCAAACTTGTACGAGGCAAACAGATGGCCTAGCTGGCGGAGTATTCAATAAATGTAAAACAGCCTGATTTGTTACGTCATTAGTAATTCGAATGAAGATCAATACAGCTTGAATAGTGTTATTTAATGTTGATCTTTCGATTAAATTTAATAATGTTCATCATCACGGTATTATCGGTAATAAAACGCAATTATTTATTTTTATCTCAGTTAGCAATACTCAATACAAAATTCATTTAATTATCCAGGAATTATTAGTATTCAACGAACTGATCTAAACGTGAACTTGGCAAAACTATATGCTTGTGTACATTAAATACTTTTTATTGCAATCTGCTTCTACTTATAACACAAAAAATGGGAATAAGAACAATCAAAGGACGGTCAACAACGAAATACCACTCCATCGCATGTACTTTTTTTAAAAATTAATGTAGAACATTTAGATTTAAAACTATAGATACTATAGAAAAATGCTAAAAACTCACCTTTGATCCTATTTGGTTACCACACTGGCCGGCTTGAACATGAACTATTTCTCGCATTTTGTTAGTAGTTTATTAATTTTGACTTTAAATTAAACTGAAATAGTATTAAAATTAGTTCAATATCATTTATATTATTAAAGATAAGTGGAAAACAACACAACATAAGTGCTCAATAGTATTAATAGTACATTACTACAGCTACGATAAACGTAAGAGATCAAATCAGTACAGTACGTAGAATAAAAAATTTCAACAGTTCTGTGCTGCTGTGCAAGGCAAATCGCATAAGGCGTCTCCGATACAACTGAATATTTCATGAAGCGTCGTGATTGGGTTTCTTATGCAACTGTGCTGTCGCCTTCCAGCATTACGTCATTCGGCTTGCGATGGTAAGTATATCGACCAGATAGATCTTCTTTGCCTGAAGACTGCATGTATGCATATAGACTCAGACATTTGTAGCTAGTTTCGATGTAGAGAAATACAATGAAATGTCGATTGGAACCATATATTCATATTTCCTATTTATATGTCGTTGTGTTGTTTATATGCCGACACTCGTGCATCTTTAATTTTATGGCAATACAAAAAATATGTTTGCAGTTATAAAATTTAAGATAAAAAATGAAATCGTGAACTTGAGATTACATACTTTTTTCCCTGCCAGTGTTTCCTTTTGGACAGTGCTAGAATGAAAAACGTGTTACTTGCGCCCATGCTATGACTACGATTTCCGAGAAGACTTTTTGTATTTCATTTTTTGCAACTCAGCGATGTTTCGTATTTTGCTCATGTTGAAAACAACTTTGTATACTTTGCCATAAAACTTTAAATATGTCTTTAAAAACTGACCTGGCCCATGCACTTGATGCAATGGTAATACTGTTTTGTTTTTATATTACAGATGAATTGTAAATTTTGAAGTTTGATGGTCAGCAAATCATACAAATGTTCGTTGTCCTGATTGTAAAAAATTGAGTTTTTGTAATGACGGATCCATCGGCAATAATATTGATGTTTTCATGTAATTGAAATTGTACAAAAAATTTGATGACAACTACAACCTGATTCCTTCACAAAACGTAGTCATTTTATTGAACAGGATCTTTAAATCTATGAAATTTGATTCAAAACAAGAACAAATTATTAAATTTTGCAAATATTTAATTAAGACATGTGCTTTCGCTGAGACCCCTTCGCCAAATTCTGATACAAAGCGAAATTGGCGAAAACATATTGGTCATTGACCTCAGAAACTGGATGAATTTGTCGACAGTCAATTCAATGATACCCATAAACGCCCCAAGCGACTAAATAATGCCGTAGGAATAAAATAAATATTTAACTGACGTTGTGTTTTAAATATGTTTAAGGCTCTTCCCAAAATTGGAAAAAGTGGCAACTGTATACTATTTTCCGGATGAGAACAGGGCTAAGTCACAATTTTGATTTTTGAAAAGAACGCAAAAAAAAAATTTAAATTTCATTATTTTTGAATTTCTAGATACCTAGATATTCACACTTAGTAAAGACCTGAGCTCTGGTTATTTTGATGTGAATGAGAATATCTTTGTAATTAATATTTTTTGGGGGCATTTCCGCTTGATTCCTTTCTGATTTTTTACTCCCATAAAGGACTCTTGGCCCATTCTGTTTTCAACAAATTCTGAAATTTTTTGTATGGGATGCAAGGTAAAACAACTTGTTTTAAACAAGGTGACTTAGGTCTAAGTTGCACTGAACAAATTCTTAGGGATGTAAGTTTCGGACATTTCATTTCTGATGTCCATCATATTGGAACTTAGGCCTATTCTGTTCTTAACTTCTACAAAATATAATAGTTCTAACTTCAGCTAAAATTTTTATTATTGAGAAATTCAGGATTTCAAGACCACCACCTTGTAGAGCATGGCTCAAAACCCCAAAATTTGAAAAAAGTGAATTTCAAAAAATGTAACTTAGGCCCCTTCGATAGGAGTACAGTAGCTCAGTATTGGCTTTGTCGTAATGATACTCGCACGTCTTAATAATTTGTACAAGGAAACGATGCATATAGTCAAAGTTGATACACATGTTCATACACATTTTATCCAACCATTCACATACAGTCTTGCATTGAAAACTTGATTCTTCAAACTCACCAGACATCGTAAACGCAAATCCAACCACGGATCAGTAAAATAGCAAGAAAAAAAAAGATTATGACAGCACCAAGGTAATTATTGTAATCCACATATACCCAAAATATCAGATTGTATAATATGAACGGCTTTGTCATGACGTCTTTTGTTGATGTGACGTAACTGAGTGCCAGATATTAATATACCTTATTATCAACTTGATGCATCGTTTAGGAACCACATCAGTATGTTTATGTCGAGCACAATCATAGTTGTTTAAATAGAACCTATATATAGAGAACAATTCGTAAAAATGTATAAACTACTTCAGGAAAAAATAAGTAAGTAAAGATTTACTATAAATTAGGAAGTGCCCAATTGATTATAAAATGTAATAACAACTAACTTTAAACTAAAATTAGAAGAAATTACCTGTAATGTCTTACTAGTGTCTACTATAGTGTCTACTCTTGACTACACTACCCCTACCTCGTATAGACCAGGGAAGCCAAAATTTGGAAGATGTCGTCAATTATTATTGAAAAACACTGATTCAAGTTACAAGAATCCAGTAGCTTACAAATGCTTTAGATATTTGATAGACTAAAATATAATCAGTAGTTCTAGACCAAGGGTTCCCAAAAATGATTGGCCGCGGGCCAAAATTTGAAGCAGAAGGATATTCGCGGGCCTGAGAAGGGAGCGTCCAAATGGGCGCAACGGTACGGTTAGAGTTCAGGGCGCGCTCGATCGAGAAAATATTGAAAAACAGGCATTAAAATAGGCCGCAAGTTCGATTTGGATACACCTAGCATCGCAGTTTGTCATGAAATTAACTAATTATAATAGTTAGGTGATAGAATACCCGAGGAATAACAAGCAGGACTTTAACAAGGAATTTGCAACTGATAGCGAGTAGTGACTAATGAAGTTACCTTCTCATCTGGCATACGGCCTCGTATAAATCACTACTTTTTATACTACTACGGTTTATTTTGTTACACAAAAAACATCCCAGTGTATGTGAATATATAAAAAAATGCCAACATAATTTAGTGTAATTTTGTACATACATGTAATTGGGATGTAATTATGTCTAGACGTTAAAAATAGTGACGACTGAAGACAATCATTACAAAACGAGCAGTTTAACAGTATGGATGGTTACATGATCTCAAGATCTATTTGAATAGCCTCCTGCTCCCTCTTTACTGTGTACTGTCCAAATAATTTTACCACAGCGCCATTCCATAAATGCCAGTCATGAGGATTTCAGATTCCGTCTCCGGGATGCACGATATAAAAAAAAGCACCAGGGGTGTCCAATAGAGTCTTTAGTAGTCTGTAATTACCTCTAGTATCTTTCATCGTAAATCAAAACTTAGAGGTATATCTGTTTAAACCCGACGTGGTCAACGATTGTCCCTACCCTTAATCTATGCTCTGCAGACACGCTGTACAAAATTGCTTTGCCTACTGGGGCCCCTATCACGAAACGCGACATAAACAGCGATAGTATTTTAATTAGCCCAATGAAGATTAACATCGTATAAGTAGATGGAGTAAGCACTCGGCACGATGTCCAGGAATAGTTGAGATCACAGCAGACATTTTAATTTCCGCATAAACTACAGTTTTACTGCAAGTTAAAACTAAATGATTCGGGAAATCATACTGGGACAGGATATGAGTATACACTATACCAGTGGTGTCCCACCTTTTAAGGCTCTTGTCCCCCTTCTGGAGGCTTTAAGCACTCGTGGCCCCCCGTTTATCATTACAGTGGTATTTATAGTGTTATTTTTTTTTTGGGGGGGGGGGAGCCCAAATCCTACGGCGTTCAAACAATTCCTACTCAACAAGGTGGCTTTTACCATTAATTAATTTGTATCTTAGTATCAGACTAGACTTTTTGAGAAATATAACGATTCATTTGTCTTGCCAAGACGAACAAAACGCAATTCCCATTCAGTACTACTAATTCCGCTGCAAGCTTCTTAGCCGTACCTTCGGGTTTATACATTTTCAGGCTTGCAACCACGTTTTAGTTAGTGCTATTTAACCTGATTCGAAAAGCAGATTACTGAGACTTAAATACCAATTATATCAAACAACTAAGTAGAAAATTATACATTTACATTCCAACATATCATATATTATGTCATTACTTTAATACTTGTTTGATTATACCCGGCAACTACATACAGCTGTTTTACGTTACCATATAGTATTCACTTTATCTATTGTAGAAGAATAAGAACCCACAGAAATCATTGGTATATCGTATATATATATAACAATTATTAATTAAGTAGTCCCTACTACATCAACAACAGCGATAGTTTTCCGCCGGCGCGCTGTTTAAAAATTCATGTCTTGAAAATCAAGTCGACTATTTTTAAACAGCAGCAAACGCTAAATATTCGAAAAATCTGGTATATCAAGTTCCTCAGAGTAATTTTTTTGTGACATGTAATGTATTTCGCCTTCCTTATAGGTACGACTCTGTACAGTATCCCCAAATGTAAGCATTTAGTGTTATTTGTTCCACCAATGATTGTCTTAGCAGCGGTATATGCATACCGGCTACAAAAATACGTTTCTTTAGATTGCTAATCTAACCCAACTTTATAACAACATTAAATTCAAAGGTTCGTTGTTGAAAATTTGAACTTGTTGACTGTTGACTCTCCCTTTTTTATGTAACGCCCGGCGGAAATTGTATCTAACGGTGCCATGGTGTCTCAAAACATTTCATCTAACCGTGTATAATGCCCTCTAAAGTCTTCACGGACTTTGGTTGTCGGCCACTGTCTTAGATGGACTTGACATTGTTTTATGTACGACAACGATTTATGTGAATAAAATTGGAGATAATGATGCACGCAACGCATTATGAAAATAATTAGCACAACTCGCGTGAAGTTGAATACGAGTTGCCACTGTTTCCCAGCAATTCAGCGAACTTAGCCACCATAACAAAGAAAATGAACGAACATTTGGAAATATATAGTATAGTTTAAACGTATTCCAACCTAATTTGTTTTTAATAAAAGTCTTCGAAGAAAATATTAAAAACGTGAAAATTAAATTTTTCCTTCCCGGTTATTACTTATTCCAAGTTAGGATTACATGCCATCATATTACGATTATTACACGGTTCAAAACGGTGAAGTATTGTACGTTTGTACAGCAGTTTAAGACGATTGTATTGGTGTATGGATTTTAATTGCTGCCTCACAATGATATGGGGGAACCTGATTTCATACAGTCCCAATTTTCCCGTTTGTCATATCCGTGCAAACTTTTAGATGGCAAATTCAGATAACAAATATTTGCTTGTAGTCGTTGGACGAAGAAAACTTGGCAACGTTATACCTAAACGAAAGTTTACAAGACGCCATTTTGGACAACGTGCTGTTGTGCTGATTGCCAGGAATATTTATTTTTAGGGTGAAAAAATTAGTATCTTTGAAACATTCACACTTTTTTCAAAATTGATTGCGTGTTATTCGTTCAATAGACATTTAACGGTTGACTGGAATATCATTTTATGGATTTTTTGATAGTTTTTTCAACCGCAAGTTTAATTTCAATGATGGAAATATTGGCAAATGGATTTGTCTTTAACAAAGTCCGTTAAAATGAACGCATGTTTGTGAATACATTTGAATTAACAAAAAAGGAAGCGATTGGATCTGGATAAAAGCCAATTTTTTCTGTTGAGTTTATAATATTTTAATAAGCTTTCGCCTGAGATTCTCTGCTGTTATTTACCAATATTGTGGCAAATTTAATATATGAGTACAAAATCCCGGAATATTTTGACTGAAAAACTGTTTATTTTAATTCCTTTACGCTGCCAGTTTATCAAAATTATCCCATAAAAGATAGTTATCAGAACATTCGATCTTACCTATTGTGAAAAACACTGACTGAAAATACAAATACACAAGTTATATAGAGCTACCAGTACACTAGTCTTTCCTTGATGTTTGATACCAAACACTAAGCAATTTTGGTGATGACTTTTATATTTGTAAAAAATTTTATTCAATTGAGAATTCGACCAACCAAAAAATGCCCCAAAATCATAAAGTAGTAAAATCATTTTGTTTTCCAGCATAATTTTATTATAATCCTATAATTCATTTATGAATTTTTTCAGTTTATGAATAATATTGTACAAAACAAAAGTATATATGAAATAATTTCATCACTATGAAATCGTGATCCGCAAGCATATAAGTAACAGAGTTTACCAATATTATTTCTTAAAATTAACCAGAATGAGTTTATAATTAAAGTTAGTATCGCAAGTTTATTTCAAAATGTGATGTTGTTATATGAAATCTATGCCGTGCTATACAAAACACATTTGAATAGAAAATTTTAGTTTGAAATGCTTTGTAATTAATAAATAAGATATGATAATAAAAAAATTGAAATAAAGACAACTTGAAGTCAGGTTGTATTCACTAACGTAGCGAATGTTGTAAAAATTCAAAATCGAACTTTCAGTGGATTGATTGACTAGCCAAACCATTCTTATCTCCATATTGTCGCCATATTGATTTTTGTTTTCATACCCCTATGCCAGAAGCTCCGACTCGAAAGGTAATGTAGAGTTTTTCTCGAGAAGCTATGTAAGGAAATATACGGAATGACAGCAAATTAAATGTATTGTCTTTACTTCTTGTATTTCAATCGAGGTAACTGCGGAGGTAGAAATAGAAGATCCCGCGAAACCGGTTCGTTTCTTCAGTGGGTGATTAAGAAAAATTAATTAATTGAAGTTATCCACAACAATGCTGTTTAGCATTTCAGCCGCTTAAATCGTACGAACGTACAAGGCACATTTCCCGACAAGTCCAGCAAAGTTCTTCATAAAGCTTTTCTGTTGAAATAAGTAAAAAGAGTAGGTAAAAAAGATATGAAAAAAAAAGAATGATAATAATTTAAAAACTTATTTAAAACTTCTTACGTCTTTTAGCTGACTTGAAATGTCGCCTGCAGCTCACGACAAATTCGGAGTTTTTCGTCTTGCAGAAATTACGGCATTTTCCTGGGTTTTTTAGCACTATGATCTGAATCATCCTTTTCTGTAAACCAATGTAAAATATCATAGCATTACAAAAAATAGCTATCAAATTGTGTCAACAAAAGCCTCAGTCTGACAGTAATTTCACTTTGACGGAAAACGCAATGTGTTGCGCGGCAAACAGATGGTTCCCAATGGCTGATCTGTTGTTTTGCTATTTTTCTGCTGCATAATCGCTTAGTACAAAGTTACGTTGTTTAATCAGGCGATTTGTCTTCCGTTTATAAATTGGGCGTTTGACAAGTATGATTTTGATTGCCGGTGGTAACCACACATCTCAGGTTCCGAATCGTCGCAAAAGCCTTTCGTTTATTCTCGCAAGTGACATCTTAAATTTGAAAACCTACGCGTTCGTGGGATAAACACACTGTTCCCGAATAAAAGCGAACAATGTTACATTAGTATTATTATCGTATTTGGACAAAAAATAAATAAAAAATATCTTCAAACAAAAAGGAAACATATGAAGCGTGTTGTATTTCATTCCATTGTTCATTCTGCACTGTACGTCTAGTATTGCAGTGCTTTCCGACAGACAAGAACGTTACTAAAATTTAGGCTATACCGCTGAATAATGATTAAGGTTTACGTTTGAATTTGAATGGAAAAATATTGTCAAATGGAGGGGGGAAATGGAAAACGTCATATTATTCAAAATAGCGCTGAAAGCTCCAACAAAGCCCAGAACGCAATTATTTACTTCGTATGCTTCGGTAAGGCGTAAAATGACCAGGTGTGTAAGGGTGCAACTTTCAGAAATTTTAATTTCGAGTCTAAGAAAGGCAATTTCTGTGATCTTCCGTCGCAACTCTAGTTATGTGTTTGTTTTCAAATCCATATTTAGAAACATCCCTACTATTTCCCTTCGCTTCCCCACAACCTACTACGTTTTATCGAGTCGGTTGCTTTTGTAGGTTACAGGAAGCGTGGTAATTTACTTCCAGATTACCAAGTGTTGGGTTTCATAAAATAGTTTGAGAAGCCACGCTCCAGATTATCACGCTTAACCATTGAACAATAAAGTCGTTTTTCCGTCACTTACCAGCTTCTACCAGATGACACAGCAAACAAACTAAATCATATAATGGGGTTTTCAACGCCTTGCGCACAATTGGATCACCCTTGTGAAGGGCCATCCCCGCAGCGGTGAAATTAACCGCTTGTTGTTTGAACTGTTGTTCGATGTTTTGGGAGTATTTTGTTCTAGCTTGTGGCCAAACACTGAAGTATGTTACACAAACACAGCTTGCTATTTCCTGTTTCGTTCGTTTCAATATTTTCTTCCCGGTCCGCGAGGTAATTTTATTTGATGTTAATTGTCCGCTTGGGTAGAAAGATTAAGACCCAATGTACTAGAGCTATGTATTCGACTCGAATCCTCGGTGTTCACTTCAGTTTCTTCTACCTATGCAATATTTTTAAGAACTCATAGGTCTAAAACCAAGTACATTTCAATTATTTTCGAATCTACTTTGCTTTTCATACAAGCTTTTTTTCCTCATATATATATGATTGCCATTTTGAACATTAAAATGTGAGTGATTTATTAAGCAGCGACAGCAGAAGTTCTCCTTGTTCTCGTTTATACTTGAAGCAAAAGGTATTGGGCAATTTACATATATTCATTTATTCTATATATGCACTACCTGCACGTTCACGCCATTTGTGATTTTTGTCGTTCTTCCATTACTTTTTTCAATCAACTTTGACGATTCAGCTTTTCCAATTGATATGATAACTATAAAGGAAAACAGGAAATTCATTCAAAACGTCAAAAAGTCATTAAAACTTGAATCACAACCGTGAAAATGATAGATTAGTTGGAAAATGTAATTTATAGATATAATGATGTTCTGATGTAGTTGTGGAGTCAAATTAAAAAAAATACGACGCGATCACAAAAGTTGATCACCATAATGCAATAATATGATCGTATTATAATTTATGACAATAAAAATTTGGACTTTGCACGGTGTGCAAAATTGCGACCACATCCAAAGGGTTATATGAATATTTCACTTGATGAATCCACTAAATGTAATGTTTAATAATACTTAACTGACATTTACGGAATATTTGAACAAATCAGAATTTATATCTTAAAATAGCTTCTACTTTCTCTTGATCATAAAGATTTCTCGGTTGTATTTGATCAAATATAGATATTAGGTTAGGCATTCGTAACCGAAATTTTTGTTTTTGTTTGTTCACTGACCACTGCTGCGATGAGGATATTTGAAATATTTGTTGTTTGAAATGCGCCGCCCGTGGCGTTAAAATTCGAACCAATTTGAAAATGGATATTTTTCACATTAACATATTTCATATTAAAGACATGTGAGCGGGTTGATCTCTCTTGAAAGATATAAGTAGGCAAAATATGTCAAATTTCCCACAGATACACTGTATAGAAAAAAGTAAGTGTACTAGCGAATTTTAGGTTATTAAAAACCAACTTTTTTGAATGATATTTAACCTAAATGAGTTCATTCTGGATCGCCTATACGTGAAGCACAAGGATTGTGAATATCAATGATTGCCATTGCGAAAAATTTTAAAATCGTTCAATAGTCTCAGATTTTTTATTTGTTTTATATTTTGTATAACTGCTGGATGATAATGTTCACAAGCTATCCAAAGAAAATTGAAATTCAGTTAAAGGACATCTGTATGGTTTTTATTTAAACAGATCTTCAAATTACTTTCGTGAACCTGATTCCTCGCTTCTCCTCTGCCAGAAAAGGAAATAACAGAAAGATGAATTTAAATGTTTCAAATTTGAAACAGCAAAAAGTTGACTTAATTTCCCTTCACCACGGACAGACGGATTCAAAGATTGAGGTTGTAGCAAACAAAGTTATGAATCTGAATCAAAATATGTGATAACTCATTACTCACCGATGGCAACCATGAAACACAGAATAGAAGCGAATTTCATTTTTCTTCTGTTATATTTCCGATCTTTCCGGAGGCAAAGCAAATTCAATTTCAGTACTTTATAGTTTTTTTTTTTATTTATTATCAATGTCCAGGATTTCGTTTAGATAAATATTTTCAAAACTAGAATTTGACAACATTATTTAACATTCATTAGTATTCACAGTTGCAAATAATACAAATTGGTATTTAAAATACAGTTCCAAAATTATGATAGAAAACCAGCCTCCATTGTATGCCATATCTCCAATTTTATTATATTCTAGAGTGATTATCAAACTTATTTGAACCGCGGAACACTGTTTATATTATACATTTGTAACTAAAATAATAAAAAATCCAGGTTTTTTGTGAATATACAATTCAATTATAGCCAATAATTATCCGGACAAATTTTGGCATAGAAACAAAAATTCTTTAAATTTAAACCACAAAACGTTTGAATACCAATGGAAATTATCAGATTATAAGCAGATTATAAGAAGCATTGAATGGCATTGACATTTCAATGTAATAACTGGTCTTTCTTCGATGAGCACAAGTCTTATTTCTGGCATAGATTGAAGATAGACAATCGCGCACTTCCTCTGCCCATTGTCGACAAATTTGTATGACTACCGATAACTTAATTTCTGTTATGATATTTTGAAGTTCGTACTGTTGATCCATATTACTACGCAACAGTATCATCTTAAGATACTTGCTTATTGATTCGTCACCATACGATATTCCAATCGAAAAAAATTGTGAAACAATAATTTTTCATGGAACGTCTGTGTACCATGTAACACTGGTTGAAAATCACTGTTCTGCGGCATAGCCTTTTCTAGATATCTGATCCTCTGCTTCTCTCTTAAACACAATAAAAATAGAAATCTTATAATCTTTCACAAGAGTTCCGTTCTTATTAATATCTTGGTGTTTTATATTTTATTATAAACATTTTGTTTTTACCCTTCCCAATTCACATTTTTTCCTTTGGTACTTTTTCTTCTTCGTTGTCTCTAAAAGAATAATTTTGCCATCCTATCACTTATAACCTCGATCGAATAATTAACAAAAACGTTAGAAGAATCTCGCTTTATCGCATACGTTTTACATCTGCGGCCCCTTTTTTGCTGTTGAAAACCATGCAAAATGACTCTCTATTTACGTGAAATTCAACCGTTGAACGATTTTGTGTAAACTGTATATAAGTTATACATATGGTTTAAATAAATACTCGTTACTTCTTTAGTGTCTTTTTGAAACGTCTAGACTTCACTATACAAATCAAAACAAAGCATAAATTGTCATTTTGAGGGTACCTTATAAACGAGTTGGACTCTGACACGACAATGTATTGGTTACTCCAACATAACTAGTATCTATACTTCCATTACAGTATTGTCGATGCATGCTGCTACGAAATTTCTGTGCCGGCTGGCTTCTGTTACTAGAATTTTGTTCAGCCGTTACATCTTGCTGCAGCCTTTGTTTTTCTAATGCCCAAAACATTTGAATCAGAAATCTCAATATTCACAGTTATTGTTCCCACTTCCAAAACACTTTGATTTTCTGAAAGCTGACAGGTTTTTCTGGAATTGCTGAAAATGTGATTCAAGGGAATAATTCAACATTGGTAATAGCCATAAGTTCTCCAGAGGCTTCTGACCGCTAAGACTTCTTCGTTACTTTATTATTTGAGTGTCTGTGGGGACCTAACTTTGTAACCTTTAAAAGTTATGATTAAATTAGATCAAGTTAGTTTTTTTTGATTGAATAAATATGGTATGATAGCATCTAGCGACAACTCATTGTATAAATATTCTTACTGAATCACTCATTTATAAATAGATGACGATGCAATATTGAATCGGTCATTAACTGATAAACAACCCAGGGAGCCCACACGTAAATTATGTGACAATCTAATATAACTAAATTGTTTCATCCTGTGACGTACGTATTTATCATGGCTTGGTACTTGAACAAACAGGTTTCTTAATATATTAAAACGACTTTCTCTTTTGTTATAAATTTTGGCTTGATATAAGTTGTCAGGAACTACCCAACCGGTTTTCGATATCTTTCTAAAATCTAATCTGAAGTATTGGAAATTAACACCAGCAGCATCAGCGTGACGTATTTCAAACACTCGTTGAGACAGGTGTTCTATTGTGGTTCTAGGGAAATTCTACTCTATCGACCTAATTTACATCGAAATGAAAATATGATTAACGTTTTGCACTGGTTACATTAAAACTAGCGAAGGTTTATGTGAAAGAATTATTTACAGTGCCGACCGTCTAGCCAAAGATACTCCACTCAATGAAAATGTTTTTTACAAACATTTATGATAGAAATAAGGCTAATCTTCAATTACCCTGTTTTTGTAACGTGATAGTGTTTGTACATCTTATTAACAGACGGCATTTTGAGTTACATGTCCGTCTAGTTCGATAACTTTTTGAATAACCAAACAAATCGAAAATCACAAATTTATTATATTTTTTGGTTAATCATCGCACAAGGATAAAATGAAGTCCGGACTCGGCGAAACCCGTTTTTAAATTTAAAGTAAAAAGTCAAATCGATTCAAAATTGTAAACAGTTATTAAAAATTCGTGGTTATGACTATCTGTTGTTCGAGACGAGCAGTTCAATTGCGTAAACAATAGTTGTTATACCAGTGACAAACTTGACATAAAACTAAAACTACTAAATATTATATAATCTATAGAAAATGCTTTTAATAACTCATATAATCTCGTCTACTGTTGTAATTTGACTGTTTCACCTCGAGTGCCACAAAACAAACAATTAGCTAACATGTACTTATTACAAACCGCAATCGAATCTTAACTTAAGATCAAGGTGGCACCACCACTGAAGTGTTCTAGATAAATTTATTCAGGAATTTTTATTGCGAGTATGTCCGGTATGCAATTAAATTTGGCACAAAAATAGTTTTGCTTAAATAAGAAATTATTCTCACGCAAAGTGTGGTTAATTTGTCCCTCCGGCTAAATGGTCGTTAACACGGCGCGAGGGATTAAATAAATTAAATATAACCAATGCCCTAATTTATTTTTTTATAATATTTTATTATTTTATTTATCTTTCTCGCTAATCTCCGCATGATATGCCACTGTGGACAAATCATTGTATTTCGTTTTTAGGACCCGTTTTATAAGAACATTTTTTACCAATAAATCCTTACCGATATTTGCGTTTATATTTTCAATATTTCAATAGAACTTACCGATGTGTGAGGTACATGAATTTGAAAAACACAGCTGGTGCAGCAGAGACATTATCAGACGATAAACAGTAAGCAATGTCATGTTGTTTATAAGTTTCTTGAAAAGCAGATATAAGCGACAATTATATACAAGTGCTATTAAAACTGTTGATAACTGTGTAAATAATTACATTACTTCAAAATACGAGCTGTATAAGTTTAAAAGACACTGTCCAACATTGGATGTGATGATTGAAAACCGTTTTCACTCAAACTATTTTTTTTTCAAATTTCTAAGCATTTTTCATTTTTAAAACACAGTAGTGACCTCCGCAATTTTATCAAATTATCCCTACTGAGTGATTGTAATAACATTGATAAATTCGTGGTTAAATTTACAAATAACAAAGTGCTGTGGATGCTCGATGACGGAAGGTTTTGAAGAATTCTATTTTGATACTTATTAGAATGTTTACTACAACGTACCAACAATAATAAAATTAGTAATAACAATAGTGCATTTATATACAGTCTATAGCAATCACGTTTTTGTCTCAATTACAAAATCATTTGCACAAGAGTAAAATATTTGCTGTTTTGCGCATAAATATTTTATAGTATGTATAATCAATATAAACCTGAGATAAGATAACATTTGATACAGCAATGTGTTACAGTCGCAACGATTTTGATATTACAACAGTACAACTTCTCATACAATCAACTCTATGACGACACCGAAACTTCTTATAATTTCATACTACTCGGCCATCATAATTTAATGGTTGAAAAATGAATTGAAAAAGGAATTGAAAAAGACAATATGACGAGCAATTATTTGTGAAACATTATTTGTGCAATTTATGGAAGCTCAATAGAAAAAAAATCAGACTGAATACGTTGTGTTAATATTTAATTATATAGGAAATGGAAAGATTTATTTTCTGTATTGACACTGCCCTTATTTTCAGTAGGTAAGATACCTGGCCTCAATATCGTCTGACAAACAACGATACACTATTTGTCAAGATTTTGACAAAATTGAAGCGAAGTTAAATTATTGTTATTCAGTATTCTTTCCGATTTGTTCAATTATAATTGAAAAACAATCACTTTAGACTGCAAAAGTTCGATTTTGGTCTATGACTAAATTTGCAAATAAAACATTACTTTCACTCGTTTAGTTTTAAAAAGTTTTCCATGTCCTAATGGTTAACTATTTATATACTCGACATGGGTGACAATGCCCCTCTCCCTCCTCTGTACATTTTTAATTATTACAACATTAATATTTATTCATCTCTACCTTGTGTTCAGAAACTACGCAGTAACTCGTGTATGCGTGATGTTTATGAAGAGAACTATTCGGAGTCAGAAGTTCATAAAGTTCACATATATAGTCAAACTGATCTTTATCGTAAGATACCTATAATCGATCAGTCAATTGTCAACTGGTATAAAGTTAGAGATACAGTGTTTCCTTCTCACAATTCAACATATCTCAGCTTTAAAATATACACAGTAATATTACTAAGATTTCAGTGTAAACCCAGTGACTGACAACCTGCACATAATAATTGTCTAAAAAAGACAAATAGAATTTAATGGACCACACCTATTGAGACGAAGGCGTTAAAGTATAAACTTTTTACAGTTGCTTATTAATAGCAAATGCACTCGAAAAAAAGAGCAATTCAGAAAGGAAGGTGAATAACAAAACACCAAAAGCTAATAATTGGAAACTAAGACTTTCAATCAGAGCGTGAAACGAAAATAAAGCAGAATTACAAGAAGATGCTGAAAATTGAGTGTACTTTTGTTAACTTAAGTCATGGGAATGAGCACGTTGAAATATGAAACATGTTTGTATCCCAGTATCACATACTCAAACCAAACACCGATTCGTCAAGATGGCACATGATGGATTAAGCATCCTGATAAAAAGGGTTGACAGTTCAACAAGTGGTAAATTCTCTTGAGCTTAGACTGATTAACAGCCCTTAAAATTGTCACATATGTCAACAAATAGATAGTTAAGTTGAAAATCAGTGACATAACTTTCTGCAACTCAATCAGTTTAAAACATTTTATTCCCGTTAAAAAGTCTTTGCGCCAAAATATCAGAGTGAAGCTCTGTTATTGGTATTAGTGACTTAAGTCCCCTGGTCAAAGATTATGCAAAAGGTTATTCGACTGAAGAAGGAATAATGAGACAACTGAATAATTGTGGTTTCATTTGGCCTACGTCATGCTTGGTCATGTCAGTTACAAATGTAAATCATGTAGTATGTGTTAAATTATGTTTTGTGTATACAGGGTAGTGAACAATAAAAAACTATCTCAAGGGCCATAATTCATTCCTAAATTCATCGCATATTCAAATACATGTAACAAATTTATCAAAACTTCAAATCAAGCAAACGCGAAATATCTTATTTCAA